CTTTTCATCTATGGGATTTGGCGGAGAATCAGATTGACTCGCCATCTACTGTTCACCTCTTTTTCCCGCACGGGAAAAAAAAACAAATTTAGTACAAAAAAGTACGAAATAATTTGATCCCCAGATAAAAAAAACAGAAGAAAAGGGCAATAATTACCGAGGTAGAACAAACGAGACGATTTATGCTCAGAATTCTTGGAAGCGGCAGTGGGCTATGGTTATTGTCTCATTGAATTTGGTTTTTGCTCATCCCCAGGCAACAACTGAAACTGGTAGCTAATATTTATGTGTATATTTATTTTTTATAGATAATGGAAAAATGCAAAATCTTTCCACATGTCAGCAACAAGCCAATCTTTATCCACTATAGCTTTTTTTTTTTTTTTTTATTCCTTTTTTTTTGTTGCTTTTTTTATTATTATTATTATATTTCTTTATGGGTTACAATGTGCTAGATTTGTTTTCTAATGTTTTTTATTTTCATTTTTCTAATATAAAATTTATAAATGACTTCAATATTGTGATCGGAAAAAATTAATATTACACCCTCTTTTTCCCGCACGGGAAAAAAAAACAAATTTAGTACAAAAAAGTACGAAATAATTTGATCCCCAGATAAAAAAAACAGAAGAAAAGGGCAATAATTACCGAGGTAGAACAAACAAGACGATTTATGCTCAGAATTCTTGGAAGCGGGAGTGGGCTATGGTTATTGTCTTATTAAATTTGGTTTTTGCTCATCCCCAGGCAACAACTGAAACTGGTAGCGAATATTTATGTGTATATTTATTTTTTATAGATAACGGAAAAATGCCAAAATCTTTCCACATGTCAGCAACAAGCCAATCTTTATCCACTATAGCTTTTTTTTTTTTTTTTTAATCCATTTTCTTTGGTGCTCTTATTATTATTATTATTATATTTCTTTATGGGTTACAATGTGCTAGATTTGTTTTCTAATGTTTTTTATTTTCATTTTTCTAATATAAAATTTATAAATGACTTAAATATTGTGATCGGAAAAAATTAATATTACACTAATCGAGTCGAGTCAATTGAATGGACTGACTTAATCAAAATCAATCTTAACTTGTACAAAATTATCTTCTCATTTGGCCAAACCAACCCAAAAGAAGACGACGAGATAGGGGGAAAATAATGTAGGAATGCATAGGATATGTGAAAAAGGAAGTGCAATGGGACCGAGGTATAATAGGGAGATGATGTCGGCATGGATGTAAGGGGCTTAGATAGGTTGAAATGTAAAGCGGTGATTCAGACGATGTATAAACAACGTGAAGTGTATTATAATTTTTCAAAATACAAGATTATTATTAAGAAGTTTGCATACAAGAGATGATTTTTCCAAATGTGCTCTCGAGTTAATTTTTTAAAGATAAATTACTCAATATTGTATATCTCGTTTTGAGAGAAAAATACGTAATTATGTCGGATAGAACTCTTTAAGAGCGAGACAACATTGAAGATGGCATTTTAGTGTACCAATAGATGAAAAATCTCACCTTAATCTGACAACAAAAACGCCTGAAATAAATACCACACAAAACATGATCCTCGATTGATTTCTTATTAGAGACAAATACTATATTAGTATGTGTTGCTTAAAAGTAAAATAAAAATTACTCCCAAGAAAAAAGTCCATTTTTATCTTTACATCCTCTACTTCATTTTCTGTTCAAAAAGAACTTTCTGTATCAAATTTTATTTGAATGTGAAGCATATAAATAAGAGAGAAAAAAGAATCAATTTTGACAGCTGTGGGATTTGAACCCACGCCCTTTCGGACCAGAGCCTAAATCTGGCGCCTTAGACCACTCGGCCAAACTGTCAGATGGTTAGTGCTCTTTGCTTTCATATTTAATACCTTAATAAAGAAAAAGAACTAAGAACAAATAAATAGAAAAGGTCTAACCGTGGATGCGCCACCGCATATTGAAGAAGCACCACCACAGCGGCAGCCTCTCCTCGCCGGTTCAGCCACTGCATTCAGAAAATTCAGTTTATCCTTCTCCTTGACCGGCGGCCCCTTTGGGTTAAGCGTCATTACTTCAAATTTGCTATCTTTCCACCAGGTAAATGCATCTGCCAACATCTCCTTTTTATTTCTGCCGGCGTCGTTCCTTTTCTCTTTTACTTGTTCTTCTCTAGTTTACGTTCTTAATAATTCTTGATGGAAACTTTTGAAATAGACCCGTTTTGGTGATTAGGCTAGGGGTGGGCGCGGGTCGATTCACCGAACTGAACTAAAATTTTCGGGTATCTAGTAAATGGAACCGTCGGGTCCAAATATAATTATGGAACCGTTCAGGTTCGATTCCGTTCGGTTCTGTACTATAATTAAATTTTTTAACATTTATAAAAACATTAAATAAATATAACTAATGATACATTCAATGATTTTGGAATGTCGGAGAATAGTAAACTACATTGTTCAAATTATCGCTACGATCAAAATTTCGGTCGGTGAAGGTCACAGTTTCGATCGGAGGTCACAGTGTCGGCCAACGATTGTATAGGT